GAAAAAAAAACTTTTTCATATTAAATTTATTTGAAAATTAATAAAAAAAATTCTTCAATCAAAATTCAATAAAGCGTTCTTTGTCATTTGATTATGGCTATTCAATCAACAAACAACAACAATAATAAATAATATCTCTATATTCAAAAGAAAAGATTTCATTTTTTTTTTGTTTTTCAAAAAATGTTTTTTTATTCTTTTGTTTTGTTTTATTTGTTTGTATAAAAATTCATAGTTCGTTATTACAAAATTTTTTGTTTTCGAACTATATATATATCTTCAAAATAATAATAATGACAACAACAACTGAAAGTTATCATACAACATATACAAATTCATTAATTGATAATTCAAATTCAACAATCAAAGATGAAGATCCATCATTAATTGTTGCTAATGTAACAATTGATGAATTAGTTGAATCATGTTGTAATGAAGTAGTATTACCTTCTTCTTCATCTAGTCAATTAAATAGCAGTAGTAGTGTTTCACCGACACATCTTGTTCGATTTGTTCATTCACAATCGTCACTTGTTAGTCAGATAGATGAAACAAATAATAATAATATTCAACAAAATCCATCAAATATAATTATATCTAGTCATGATATACCATCTATTAAACAAACACCATTTATTAATGTTGTTACACGTTTACCATCACCATTTTCAACAATTAAACCTAAAACAATTATTGAATCAACTAATTCAATGTATAATACAACAAATTTAACAAATATAACAGCAAATAATATAAGTGTTAATAATTATAATGTTAATATTCATACAACAAATGTTCAACAACAACAACAACAACAGACAATATTAAATAATAATAATAATAATAATGATCATAAAATAAAAAAATGTAATTCATTAGATGAAAAACAAACAACAGAAATTGTAACACAAATATTAAAAAATATTAAAGAAGTTGATAATAATAATGAACAAACAACAAATTATAATATACATATTGATTCATTTAATTTTTCATCAACAAATGAACAACAACAACAACAACAACAACAACAATCAATAATAAATAAAAAATCACGAATTAAAAAAGAAGCTAAAGCATTAACAAGAATTATTGTTAAAGATGATACAACACAACAACAACAACAACAACAACCAATGTCACCAAATTTTTTACGTAATAAAAAATCACTTAAAAATTCATCAAATCATCAATTTGATAATACACAAACATTATTTGATTCTATACCTGTACCATATGGTTGGCAAAGAAGAATATTAGCTACAGATATTGTTGTTTATCTAAGGTAGAAAATTTGTTTTAATGATGAGAGAACATTTAAGAATGTAAATCTTTTAGTCCAACTAATATAATACTTGATTCATTGGATGCTGTACGTCATTATATTGAATCACCAACATCATGTAAATGTGGTCTTCAATGTCCGCTTATTATTGATAAGGTTTGTTTCAATACAAAAAAAAAACAATAATAAAATGTTAAAATTCATTCTATTTAAAGGTATTCAATTTTGATCCAACAAAAAAATCAAAATCTTGGGAAGTTATACAAGTTCTTGAAGGTACACATTGTCGACAAAAATCAAATATATTAGAAATGGCAACATTAACAAATTGTATTGATTCATTTTGTGAAACAGAACAAAAACCAGGTTTGATATTGAAATATATTATTTTTAATTATTATAATTTTTATTATAGTTAAACGTCGAAAACGAATACATAATGAATCAACAAATGGAAATGTATTTGTATGCTCATCAAATTTAATTGGAAATAGTAATAATGAATCAGTTGTTTTTGTTAATAATACTGATCAAATATCTGGTATATATTTATATTTCTATTCATTTGTTTTTTTTTTTGAATTTTGTTTTTTTTTTTTAGAAGATGGTCAATCGATGACATGGACATCTGTACAACAACAACCAAATGTAACTCCTCCATCGAAACGACCACGTGGTCGTCCACGTAAAACTACAATTACATCACCAATAATAACACAACTTGCTGCTAAACCATCAAATGATATATATCAAACTCAACCTGTTCCATCATCAATACTTTCACCACCAGCATCAGTTTCATCAATATCACAAACAAATTTTGTTCATAGAAATTCAACATCACCATCAACATATCATCAAACAAATAATTTACGTCATATTAATGATAATATATTAACTCCACCAATTTTATCAACAACAACAACAGATACAAATGTTATTGCACGTGTTCCAACTTTATTTGATCAAGTTAAAACAACAACAAATGAATCAACATTTGCTGTATTATCAGGAGTACAAAATGTTTTATTATCACCAAATCGTGATTCAAATAATAATGATAAACGTTCACATATTGAATCGAATTCAACAGGCAAACAGGTATAACAAAATGATTTATTAAGTTTGAAGACTAAAAAAAAAAAATTTTTTTTCTTTAGGTTACATTAAATGTTAATGCTTTAAAACCAGATTTTGTTCGTTCAACATCTACTACTACTACTACTACGCATAAATCATGTTTATCATCAAATCAAATTGATGTTATTTCATTAATGGGTACAACAAATCAAAATCAATTAACATTACCAAAAACTTCAACTGTTGTTACTGTACCATCAACAACTCATGATGAATATTTATCAATAAAATCAAATAATGAACAAATCAATGAATTATCATCATCATCATCACAACCATTAATGATTGATTTTAATGATCCATCAACAACAAATTTTCTATTATCAGCTCTTGCATCAGGTGCTTCATCAGATTCAAATGCAATTGTTAATCATCTTTTTCAAAAAGCACAAACACAACAACAACAACAATCAACAATATCAATTAAAAAAAATTTACCAATTATTTCATCAGGATTAAAAAATTGTACAGAAACAACAAATTTATTACCATCAATGCGTCAATCAGTTGTACTTCATGTACCATCAACAAATGATTATAATCAACAAACACAATCACAACAAATTATTTTTAATAATAATAATAATAATAATGATGATAAAAAACAACATCAACAAATATTTTTTATTAATAATAAACCATATATTATTCAACAAAAAATAACTCATGAACAATCTGCACAACAACGTTTAATTCTTACACCATCAATTTCTCAATCGAATGGTTTGTTTAAAATCTATTTTTTACTTGCTCTATTTCGAATCAATGAAATTTACTTCCCGAAATTTGATTCACCAATCGAATTGTTCATATTTTGCGCTTCAGCGAGGCTTGTAGAAGCCTATAAGTGTTCATCTGTATGTACTGTTCTTCTCTAAGCTATTACAATTTTTGTCAGAGATAAAAATTCAGTAGAATTGGAATAGCTTGGGAAGGACAGTGCATGAGAACGAACCTTTAAAGCCTTCTACTAGTCTCGTCGAGGCTACTTATGAACAAAACATCAGTTCAATAGGTGAATCACAGTTGAGAGACTTTTCTTTGTTAGATTCAGAATAAAATAATAACTTTGTTCAAAACCAATCTCTTATAAATTATTAGCACGTCATTTTTTTTTTGTTTGATACAGTTTATTATTACATAGCTTAAAATGATGATTGAAATTGATCATTATTTCGATGAATACATCCGAAGATAAAATATAATGAACTTAAAGTAGAGATCGTCTGATGTTTTTCATTATTCTTATTATAAAATTTAGAACCGTTGTCCGAATTATTTTCATTTAATAGAAATTTATTTAATTATTTACTCATATTTTCTACATCCATATCACTATCATCAACTTTATCTACATTTTCTATATTATCTATCAATGTCCAACTTAGATCAGGTCACAAAAAAAAAATAGTTGACCTTGGATCGGGTCATGATATAGTCGAGTCGGGTCAGGTCATGCAAAAAAATTAATTGACCTCGAGTCAGGTGATACTGTACTCGGATACTACACTTTCTACTAATCGTTCTAATAAATACTTTTCTAATTGTATCCATAGCATTTATTTTCAATATTATTACAATTTATTTAATATTCTCATTTAGAAACGTCTCATTCAAATCGAAATATTGTAACTAATAATAATAGTAATACATGTATTCAATCAACACTTGATGATGGTGGCAATTGTCTTTTATTAAATGGACCTGTTGAACCTAAAACACTTCGTACATTACTTAAAGGTTTAAATTCTTCATCATTTTCAGGTGTTGATAATTTAATTGATACAATAAATCGTTTTGAACATACAACACCATCTATAGTTGAACAAAATGATAATCTTTTAATAAAATCAATTCGTACAACAACAAAAAAACCATCAACAAGACGTCGTACAGTAAAAAAACTTAAACAAGATGAAATACAACAACAACAACAACAACAGCCACAACACCACCAACAACAAATTCAAATATCAATGCCTCAACCAATTATTGTTGAACAACCACATCAATGGCAAACAGATTTTAATACATTTGATTTTTCAACATCATGGGGAAGTGATACAAATCTTAATTCACTTCTACTTAATGATGATTTTGATACAGCCGCTTCATTTGATGATGTTAATTTTGGTGATTTTGAACCGTATATGAATAACAATAATAATAATAATAATGATATAACATTACCATCATTATTTGTTAAACCATTACCACCTGATAGTTTACCGAATGTTGACCATTTATTACCTTAGAAAACAAAAATTTTCATTTATTTTTCTTTTTTTTTGCATATTGTGATATTATTATCTAAACACACACACACACACACATACTTCTGTCATCTCTCAGGATGCTTGAGTTTATATGTATATAAATATTTGTTTGTTTTTTCTTTTGCTGTAGTTATGTAGCTCAAAAAAAAAATTTCTTGTTGATCTGAAAGTGTGTATGGAATTCGATGCTTTTCGTTTTTTTGTTCTTGCCTCTAGTCTCTCTCTCTCTCGCGCGCGCGCTTTATTTATATATTTTGTTGTTGTTGTTTGTACAGTGTTTTTGGCCTTTTCTTTTTTTTTCTTTGCAATATCATGCACATCGAAAACAAAAAATATATATATATGTTTGTGCCTTGTCTCCACTGGAATGATATTTTGTGTATCGAAAAATATTTGTATAATGCTCATTTATTAATTGTTTTGTGTGCCGTGTTGTTAAAATATGTTTTTTTTTTTTGTGTTTTTTTCCTCTTTCAATATGCGATGATCTGTTTTGTTTTCTATTTACACAGACAAATGATTGACTCATTTTTGAATTATGTGTATTTCAATTTAAAAAGAATAATGGACTTTTTTGTTTTTTCAAATTTTTCTCTTTTTGTTTTCGAGATGTTCTTGATTAGGTTTTGTTTTTTGTTTTTGTTTTTGCTTTTCTACAGTCGTTTTGAATTAGAATACGACATACAAGAAAAAAAAATTTATTGTTTTCTTTTTTTTTAAACAGAAAGAAAAAAGTTATTATTGTTGTTGTTTGTTTGTTTGTTTGTTTGTTTGTTTGTTTATAGTTGAGAATTTTTTTTCGAAGTGATTTTTGTAAGATATGCGTGGAGAAAGAAGATTTTATCTTGATTTATTTCTTGCATTTTTATTTTATTGTTTATAATTCTAGATGGGTAACGGAATAACAGTTAATAAAAAACAATTACCCGGTGTACCACAACCACCAGGTGCACGTAAAATAGTTGTTATTCCTTATCAAAATTGGATTTATTATGATGCACGTCGTTTTGGTCATTTTAATCAATTTAGTACCGATAATAGTTGTGAAATATCTTTAAATAATAATAATAATAATAATAATAATAATACTATATCATCTGGTCTCCCATCACTTTCACCAAATTCATTTTCATCTCCTTCATCATTTGTATCAACATCATTATCATTAACAAATGATTTTATTATTCAAACTAAAACACAATTAGCATCAACATCTGTTCCATCATCATTAACATTTTCAACTAATAAATCAAATATTCGTTATAATAGTAATAATATTAATACTAATACTAATACTAATACTAATAATTATTATTCATCAACATCTACATTTGCTGGTTCAACAATGACTTTATCAAATTCATCATCAACAGTAACATGTTCATCAATACTACCATCAAATGATCATGATTCACGTCGTTTACATCCAAAACCAATATATTATGTTAATGGAAGATTTTTTAAAAGTTTAACACGTCTTGGTGATGCACAATTTATATTAAGTGAACATGGTGAAGATGATATTATATTAACAGTACCATCAAATATTGAACGTTATCGTACAAATGATAATACTGTACGTGATCGTATACATCGTTTAAATCGTGTTATTGCATGTTGTGATGAATTTATTGTCTTTCAATTATGGAAAGGAAATAATGAAGTTGAAGTATTTCTATTTGATCGACCTATACCAACTGAATCATTAAAAATAAAATCATCAACTAAATGTACATGTTTTCATCGACAATCTAAAACAACATTAATTCAACAAGAACAAACATCAAATTCAAATTTATTACCACAATCATCATCAACATCAATTAATGAATCAACAATACGTATTAATCGACATAGTTCATTAATGCAAACAGCAACATTAAGTGCTTATCATACTGGTGAACCACAACGTTCACCAATTAAATCATGTTCATTATTAAATAATACAGAAAATCGTTTAGATATGCAAAATGATGCATATGAATTTGTTGATAATACAAAAAAAGCTTCATATTTAATTGGTTCAGCACGATGTACATTGGTAACTGCTTCAGCTGCTATTATTGCTAATAATCCTAATGCTAATACTAACAATATAACAATAACATCGACTACGTCGAGAGCCCGATTTGGGAAATCGGCGAGTCGGTTAGTAATTTTTCTTGATTTTTGCTTTGATTTTATTTTTATTAAACAAATATATTCAATGAATATTCTAATTAAATAATATTATTCTATCGATGTTAGTTGTTAAAGAAAACTATTCAATTAATAAAGAAACTACACAAAATGTAACTTTCATTTTGAGTCTACAAAGAAGTCTCGTTAAGACTAGAAAAATTTTAAACGAGTTCGTACTCATGGGTTGGAACCTTTTTAAGCCTTTTCTAGTCTTGTCGGGGCTTCCTTATAGACTCAAAAAAAAGTGAGTTACAGTTCGGGTAGTTCTCTTATGAGTAAATATTTAGTAAAATGTCAAACTGAATTTAAACTGAGGATCTTACCAGATGTAAAATTGTTTTTCAACCGAGGCAATGTTCATTTGATGAGTAATACAAAAGTTTAGAATGGTTTGGTTTTCCGAGCCGTCGCTCTTGAGATATCGAAATTTTACTGTTTTTTTTTTTAACGAAAAGCTATAGTCATATGAAAAATCGACTTCAAACTTTGCATGAATAAAGTTTTTAATGAGATTAGTTGATTGTACAAATTTTAGCTTTTCTATTATTCTCTTTCTGGAGATGAACAAAGTTTGTTTATGCATATAACACAATATCGAATATCTCAGGATAGGAGATACTCGAAAAGTTACAACTTTCTCTATAAATTAATCTCATTAAGAACTTTGTTCGTGTGAAGTTTGAAGTCGATTTTCCACGTTTTTTTTCTGTTTTGAAAAATCAAGTAAAATTTCAAAATCTTAAGAACGAAAGTTCGCATAACCAATCCATTCTAGACTTTTCTATTACTCATCAAATGAACATTGTCTTGATTGAAAAGAGATTTTACATTCAAACAAACTTTCTCATAAGCTATTGATTTCGCTTTTACTTTAATTTACTGCACTGTGTACTACAGCATGCAAGACAATAGAATGACTAACTTTTTTCTTAAAAATGCTATGCTAACAAAATATTCTTTTTCTTTTGTTTATAAACAAAAACAAAAACAAAATGAAAATAAAAATTCTAATAATTTATTTAGTTCAACTATGGTCAATACACGTTCATATTCAATATCAAATGCTAATGATTTAATAAATAATAAAAATCAACAAAATCATTTAAATAATAATTCAAAACATCGTTCAACACCATATTTATCATCATCATGTTGTTGTATGGATAGTAGAGATTCTGTTTTATTACCAGCATCATCTTCACCAACATTTTCTTTATCATTATCATCATCAACATGGAATAGTCGTATTGTTCGAAAACTTAATTCTGTTGCACATCGTTTTAATGCACGATCATATACTTGTTTAATATCACCTGATCGAACAAAATTATTAATAACACCTGATTATGAAGATAAACATTCATATAGTCATCAAATACATGAAGTAACTGTTATATTTGATATAAAAACTTATGTAATACTACGTATAACACCAGCTCGTAAGTTTTTCTTTTTCTTTGAAGAGAAATCAGAAAAAGAAAAATTAAATTTTTTGTATATTGTTTTAATTTTAGGTTATGATCAACGATTTTCATTTGATCCACGTTATGGTCATTCACGTTTAGCAGAATTTGATACAGTTCGTGGTCAAATAACTGATATAAAAAAAGATCGTGTACTTGTTTGTTCAAATCATACATTGAAAACAAAAGTTTATCGAGTTGAATATACAAATGATGGACATCTTATTATTGTTTTATGCACACGTAAGAAAATATTCAAATTTATTCAATAGAGACTTATTATTACACAAATATATTATTTAGATTTCTAACAAAATTTGAGTAGATAATAACTCATTGAAAGAAATTTATTAACAGAGATTTGGTTTAAAATATTTTTTAGCTCAGTACTTAATGTAATGAATACATTAGGAAGGTACGAATCCTTCCAGATTCGGGTCCGGGTCTATAATTTTATTTTTTATCGGGTCTAGGTCTCACCTTTTATTTTATTTTATTTTTGTTGGATTCGGCTTCACAAAAATGTAGACCCGCAGCTCTCTAGAATACATCCTATTTCATATCTATATTAAAATAAATTTTAATTTTAGTTCCAATATTTCAACGTGTAAAACGAAATTATTTTCTTTATATATTAAATTCATCTACATTATTACATACACGTAGTATAATAGATTATCGTGGTCCATTTTTTTCACCATTTGTATTTACAAATGAATTTTCACTTTTATTTAATATTTATCCATCATTATCAAATTGTTGTTCAACATTAGCTATTTTAAAAAATATTGAACCATCATCAAATGTACGTCTTATTGAAGTTTATTCATTACCATATACATGTACAACATTAAAAGCTATAATACGACGAAATATTTTACGTTATGTTGATAGAAAACAACTTAAACAATTATGTTTACCAGACAATTTAAAAGCTTATTTAGCTTATAAACCACAATTTGTTTAAATATATATATATATATATATATATATGATTTGCTTTTTTGTCAATATCAGTTCTATAAATATGTCACTTTCTTTTCGCTTGCAATTTATTTTTATTTGTCTCTTCTTGTAGTTATTTTGCCTTTGTTTTTATATCAATTTTTTTTCCTTGTCATGAGCGAATGCTTTTTTTCTTTCTTTCTTGCATGATACATTAAATAAATCAATAAAATTCATTGTAAAGAAAAATAATTAAATATATATATATATATTATATTGAGAGATTAAAGAGAAACAATGTTTGTAGAATAATGTCAATATCAACAGCACTTGAAGATTATCATAAACAATTAATACAATATTTTCTACGTGATGGTGCTTATAATGAAA